GTATTATTACAAATCAGGTAAGTATGTATATAATATACAGTGTATGTGTACATACGGATGTGTTCTGTCCTTCAGGTCTTGTGTGTGTCAACTGGCTTTGGAATGGCTGTAGGACTATATGGGAGGTGTTTGGTGAGTTGTGTTTAACATTGAAAATATTACTTAACAGCAAAACACTGCAGTTCAAATGTTTATTATTGGGAGTATTTGATTTGTGTGTGTTTTGGTTTTGCATTCAGTACCCTTTTCAAGATAAGAAATTAGCAATACACATCTCAAATGTGCTGTCAAAACAAACTTGACATTTTTCACTCCAGCCATTGTTATTTTGTAATCCTCTCTCATTGGAGTATACCTATATACAAAACAATTGTCTGATTACCAACTAAATTTAAAATTATAACGTGGCAATTCTGCACAAGCACATTATGTGAAAGATCTTAAAATTAATTTGAATTGGGTTGAAAGATGTAAAAATATTGCTTGAAAAAAATTCAAGTTTGAACTGGATTGGCGAGGAGAATAACAATCAATTTCTGTCCTTTATTACATTCTAACTTGTACAAATTAAAAGTAAAAGGCATTTTTACATTATCGTGGCCTGGCTTTCAACAATATCAAGTGACTAGTTCAAAAGTTACCTAAAATAGAAACAGCAAGCTGCCACAGTTTATTTACCTGCAGTTTATACAGTGTAAACTTGCATGCAAAGCTATTTACATGTAGAGATTAAGGATGTCTTAAACTTTTTTCTTGCAGATTTTTCTGACCATCCTAGCAGTGCTGCTAATTCTTGGAATTGCTTTGCAGTTGCAGTTTGAGCCTTTAGTACCCATAGTTCAGAAGTATTTAGGTATGTTGTGTAACTCGGGATTTGACTTTTATAGATTAGAAGGTCATGTGCCAGTTTCATTGTGCTGCTCAAAAGTAAGTTACATTACCACACTCTTGCAAGCAGGGCTGAACAATTTACAGGACATAGTTACTTCAGTTTTTAGTGGTACTATAAGTTACATGTAATCTCTGCAGAAAGTCCTACATCTTTCCAAGTTCCACAGTTCTTTGAAAAAGAATTTTAAATCTTCAGCTTAACCAGTTTTAGCCATCAGGTTGAAATTCCACAGATTGGAGACATACATTGTAAGTTTTAAGTATACCCTTTGGGGAAAGATTACAATCAAAATATATTCAATAGATTTTCAAACTTAGAGGCCCCAAGTTGTGCAAAGGGCTAGTCAAGGAGTAAGGTTAAGTCTGTGTTTCGTCAAGTGCCCACGAGCTTATCCTGGTTTATTTAGCATTAAGCGACAGAAGTATTGCTACCCCCCCCCCCTGAATGAGATGCTAGTCCTTTGCAGTGTTACCACCTTGCGTTTATCTTGCTGCACCCATTTTTCTACACCTAGGTGGAAAGAGGCACTCTGACAGTAAAGTGTCTTACCCAAGAACACAACACATTTGACTCTTAACACCTTTTACACTGACTGTGACACTGACTCTGACCAGGGTTTGGACCTGGAGTGCCTGATGTGGAGTCCTGCACGCTAACCAGTAGGCCTCTTTGCCTTCATTCAACTGTCAAAGGGAATGCACAAGAAATATAAACCACAGTTGAACATCTCCCATTTAAACAAACACCTTGTCATGGTCCCATCCACATACAAACATAATTTATGATTTTCTTAACCTTAATCATAATGACCAGGAGTTTTATCATCTGTTAAAATCTTCAATAATATTACTGTTCTTTCTGTATTCATAATGAATAGCGTGAAGTCACTTTTGTTTCAGGAGGAAACGAAAGCCCTCTCCTTCAACAGCAGAGTCTTGGTCAACAGAATACAGTTTTCACTCAGAATAGCTCTAGTATCAATGAAACAGTTAAATGTATTCCTCACAGGTATGTACAGGTGAAGTTTACATTTCAGTCCAGCTACAGGTTCTTGGTCCTGTAGTCTAAGAAAAATTACTGGGAGCCCAAAGGTTCTTAACCATGAAATCCTGGGTACCCAGTACTTAAGCTTATATGAAAAATGTGAGTTTTTCCAGTCACCCAAAGGTAAAAGTTAGTTGCTTGTGGCACCCAGGCCCTTCTAGAGCACAGCCCTGTTGTAGCTCAGTATATTCATTTAGTGATATTGAACATTGCTTCACAAGAATGGCTCTTGGTTCATACCCAGTGACTTTCGTAAACTTGTTTATTAAGTGGTCCATAAAATTTATCTTGCATGTACACTGTAGATTAATTAAAGTAAAGTTG